ATCTTTTATCCTGTCCTTGTCTGGTAAGTGTTTTGCCTGTAGTGAATTCAAAACCCTGCATCCTAAGAACCTGGAAGAAACATCCCATCTTATTCTGCTGAAATCCTGGAGTCAGAGTGCCGCAGCCAGACAGATCAGAGACTTACCACCAAAGAGGACCCTGAAACCAGAAGGTACAGTGCTTGCCATCCTAATCCTGAAGATCAGTGTCTGCTGTGTTGCCTCTATATTCCTCCTAATATTTGTTCAGATAAAAAAGCACCCTTTTCTAGGAGTTGCTACACAAGAGAACATCCAGTGCTCTGTTTTTCACCTGAGTAAGTAAATGTTTCAATATAAACATGCCAGCTGTTTATATTGATACATTTGTTCCTTTTTAGTAATTGAACTTGAGGACCTGGGATACATGAAGGGCAGATATGAGATTAGAACGCACTGTACTTGGGAAGCGGTTTCTTCACAATTAATTAATTAAAGAAATAGTTCATTGATTAATATTACTTCAAAACATGAGTAGCTCTGATGCGAATTGTTTCCTGAAAGCTGAGTCTCCTCTGTCACAAAGTGGTGGTTGTTTGTAAATGTATTTTCAGAAATATGTAATATATGAAATTCCTCTAATAACTTTCAACCCCTGTGTTAAATAAAGGTTCAGTTTCTCAAGCCTATATGGGACTTGAATCTTATCTTGAATCTTGTCAGAAGTAACCCTTTCTTAGCCATTGCGTTAACATCCATAAAGAATTACCATATAGAGAATTGCTAGTGTGATATTACAGCGATCCTCCCTTATTTGACCAAGAGTGAGGAAGAATGGACAGGACAGTGGAACTGCAGGACTATCAGTGTGTATTTAATGATACTGATAGAGGGCTGTAGAGAGCAACAGAGAGAATGTAGTAGCAGCAGCTAACAGTCCAGGATATACAGTATATAGAGAAAAGCAACTTCCCTGTTTATATACTGGGAGAGTAATGAAACAACAATGACTAAAATAAATGTTTTAAAACCCTATTATAATAATTAAACATCAATTATATCATAGACTTAAAAATATACAGTATAGCAAATACATTAAAATTAAATCAATAATAATGTTAAGATCAAAATCAAGCAGATAGAACAGCCCCAAATATGAATCAGACCTGAGACAGTAGTGAGGTGAATCTTTTTCTTCATTCTTGATGTGCACACTGGGAGAATGAATCTATAAACCACAGGAATCTTAAAAAATAGGAGCTTACAACTGGCATTAAATATACTTCTGGATGGGGGTAGCTGGCTAAGTATTGCCCACCTTTATTGTAACTTTTTAACCCTAGTTGGTTAATAAATTGCGCAGTGCCATAATTACCATTTAACGAACCTACACTCCTAGATTGTCAGAGAACATCCCAAAATACTTTCCCTCTAGTCTTCACTGGAACATACTGTACAGCCGAATAAGGAAGTTACTTTGGTAACCCACGGACTCGGGTATAATGACCTTGGTGTCCTTCACTTGAACCTGTATGGGTAATACATCCACACCTAGAGGTTTTATTGAGGACAGCTTCTATCAGCACTTATCT